ACCCCAATTTACCGGCCCGAATACAGCCCCAAATGAATAACCCCCTTAAGATTACTTTAGTAAAGTTGCAGATCAAGATTATATATCGACCTTATAGCTCTGGTTGATAGTGGGTAGATCTAAACTGGCATAAAAGTAGGCATAATCCCTTTCAAAATTCTTTGAATAAAACTAATCTCAGACTTTAAGTAGGTGCCAATGGTAATCATTAAGAAGTAAAATATAAATTTACCACAAGCACATATACTGTGTGCAAAGGAAGCTTGTTATACAAACTCCCTGTATTTTAGTTAAAAATTTATCTCAACTATATTAATTTCTGGAACTCCATTTCTTGGGCATACTATTATGCTATTAAGCCCAATTTGAACTAATGGCATTCGAGCTACATATGAGGATAAAAGAAATTATATTTTGAATTTATTAATCTGATACTGACAAACGTAAAATGTTAAATAAAGTCAAAATATCAATTTTATAGAAAATGTTTGGAATATTTTAAAAGATAATTTTTTGAAGCCTTTGACACTAGTGAGATTCATAGTCATACGTCTTCAATGGAAGAAGTCACACCAATTCAAGATGCCCAAGACCCTGATGATATCTGGGCAGAAATATTCAATAATCCACCAGACCTTAAAGGTAAAAGCCCAGCTTCATAAGCAGATAAAGATTCTAGATTGAGCCTCGGGGAGCCGTCTAGAATTCACTCATCTAAAGTTACTTTATAAAGTAGCTTTTCAAAAAGTCAATGCATCTTACTGTTCATAATATGAACGAATTTCGTTATACGTATGTCGCTGTCATCTTTTTGTGCTGCCACGTTAATGGAAAATAATGGAGAATCTTTCTTGAAGTTTCTTGGATGGTCTATATATATGTACAAAGTTTTTAGTGTGAGGCAGAGTTTTGAGAGAAGAGAATTAGATTGTAAGAAAAGTGCTGTGAGTTTGTAAAATCCTCTTGTATTATTAAGAGTGTATCCCTTGTATAATATTGAAGATAATAAAGACTATATTCTAAGAATCGGCTGGCGTACTCTGTAAGTGTGTTTCTTTTCTATCTGTTGTTATCTGTTATATTTCTGGTATCAGAGCCATGATTAATTTCTGCATGTCTGATTAAAATTCTTCTTATAGTTTATCTTTTACTAGTTAGCTTGTAAGAATGTAGAATATTATATGTTCTTTTAATTCTCTGATTATGAACTTGGTCTGAATGTTTATGGGACGTCGAAAAAAGTCGCGCTGTGTAAATCCCGTTGTTGCCGGATAGGCTGTTTAGGGTAGTGTAAGCCATTGACAGACATGTAAGCTTTCAACTAGGCTGATAGTTAGAGAATAAAAAGAAAAATAATATTCTGCCTCCTTACTGGTTAACTATTAAAGGATAAAACTATAAGAGAAAAATATGTCAGACCTTGCTGAAACTTCGGCTCGTAAATCCAGTTATACTGGAATGAAAAAAATTAAAAAATGCTTAGTTGACTGAATACAAAACTGACATAGAATCACTTAATAAGTGGACAATACCTGATGTCCCTAATAGAGACATATATAAAATTGTCTTTTTAAATTATAAATCTTTAATCAATATTAAAACCCTAGAAAGGACTAGTACAGTCGATAGGGAAGAACCGACTATTCAATTGTTTGGAGAAGCAGATGTAAATCCATATATGGATAAGTATAAATACATACATGTAGGTCTTATACAGATCGCTTTTCGACCATTGACTCTATCAGGGTTAAACGCATCTTTATTAGTCTGCCTTAGAGACTCAAGATGTTTGAACTGGACCCAATCTTTAATGGGTATTATGGAAACCAGTCTCTATAATGGACCGATGTATTTTAATGTTTATCCTAATTTAAGTTTATCTTTAACTGATCCGAATATACTCAAATCTATTAGTCCTAATATAAAGACTCATGGTTATAACTTTATTCCTGGATCTGAAACGATTGCTATCATATATAGGATCCATTATAAATTTCTTAATACTTTAGCCCCTAAGGCTAAAAATCATTCTAAACCATGTAAAACTGTTCTGGTAGAATCTAATGCTTTATCTTCTAATGTTGCTGTTAACAGATAGATAAAATGGGATGAAGTAAATTTTCCCAAAAACTGGGTTATACCCAATTCTGTGCAACCATTGCCTATTATTAATCAAGATATTGATCAAATTGTGTAAACTACAGATGGAGAAGTAGAAATAACATTTAATCCATCTAGAACTGTCAGAGTATCTGACATTGCAGTATCTGCCAGAAGTTCATTGTCTCGATCTGAATCTTATAGAACCAGTTCTGTTCAAGGGATTAATATATTCGATAATAATATTCCTCATCTTTTATATAAGGATAAAATTTCTCCTCCTAATACGGAGATGAGTTTTCGAATGAACTATTGAATTTTGAAAAAGGAAGTTTAGAAAGGGAAATTCTAAATAAAGAATTTTACCTAGAAAAACATCAAGATTTTTGAAAATGGTTTTTTAAAAATTTTTCAAAAAAAAGACCAGTTAAACTGGGTAGATAAATATTACGCGGAACTTAAATTAAAACAAGAATTTAAATTTTTTGTTCCATGGTTTTTTAAAAAACATCTGTTAGAACAAGAAACTCGAATAGGAGTTTTAGAAGACCACTTAAAACAGTGGAAAACAACTACAGGTAAAATTATCAGATCTATTAATCCTCCAATTGACCCGCTACAGCTAAAAGATGTTTATCCCTCTACTATAGAGGCTACGACTTTTATAAAGCCTAATGAGTTTAATGAAGAACATATGAAAGAACTAAGTAAAATTATTAAACAAAATAATTATACAAATATCCATTTTCAAACTATAGGAGATCAATTAATTAGAATTGAAGATGTTTTAGATAAATTGTTATCTAAAATGAATGAGGTTAAACCATCATTGAGAATGTTAGAAAAGACTAAATTTCCTCAAAGAAAATTAGAACAAACTAATATTAAACCACCAATTGATATTTCAGGCTTCAAAAAAGACAGTGAAATAACCCCTGAAATTATAGATATTCTAGCTAAAAAATTAACTAATGCTAGAATTCATACACTTAATACAGTGTTACCATCAACTTCTGTAGTTATATCTGAAACAGAAGAAGAATCGTCTAATACAGACAGTTCTAACGATATATCGTTAACAGAATTATTAGCTGTAGAGAATAACTTTACAGAGATAAATAAAATTAAAAATCATCCTCGAAAAAGACTGGAAAGATATTATTATAAAAGACCTACTCCAGCATACATTTTATTTGAAGAAAACGATGCCTATCTACAGGCAGATTACAATGGTAGAAATATCTACGAATGGAATATAGATGGGTTATCAGACTCCCAAATAAGTTCTACTATACATAGAATGCTTATGTATGGAACTATATGTAAACAAAATGGAAATAATGAAAGAATGATAGCTTCTTTCATAACTTGCGGTTTTACTGGCATCATTAAAGGATGGTGGGACAACTATCTTTCTGCTGAAGCTCGAAGTGAAATATTGGGAGCTACTAAAATAGAAAATGGCGTTCAGCAAGAAGATGCTGTCTATACTTTGATGCTAGCCATAGCACACCATTTTACTAGTGCTTACCTTAATGAAGGTGAAAGAATAAGGACTTTATTACAAAATTTTAGATGTCCTTCTTTAACACATTTTAGGTGGTATAAAGATACCTATTTAAGCAGAGTTATATCTCTAAGTGATGCTAATAGCTCACATTGGAAAGCCAAATTTATAGATGATTTACCTACATTATTTACAAAAAAAGTTCGTAATAAAATTTGATCTGAATATGGGGGATATATTCCCTACGATAACCTATCATATGGGTACTTATTGAACGCCTGTATAAAAGAAGGTTTAGCTTTATGCAATGACTTAAAGCTTAAAAACCAATTAAAGTCTTAAAGACTTACAAAAAGAAAAGAATTGGGAGAATTCTGTGAGCAATTTGCTTATGATCAACCATATAAGGTTGATAAAGAAAGCATTCCTAATAAAGAAAAAAAATAAAAAATTCTTTAAGAAAAAGTAGAAAAAATTCTTCAAAGAAAAAGAAAAAAGAAAAGCCACAAAAGGCTAAAAAGAAAATTAAACAAGAGAAAAATAAAATTTATTGCTATAAATGTGGCCGTATCAGACACTATGCAAACAAATGCTATACAAAGAAAAAGACTGATGCTATAGAAGACGAAGGTCTTAAAAGAATGTTATGTGATACTGAAGATGAATCATATTCGTCCACTTCAGAATCTGAAGAAGAAGAAGAAACTTGTCAGTGTGTAATTAATAATTGCAACGAAGAAGCTGACTATTGGAAAGATATAGTAGAAATGAATGGACTTTCTATTAATATGATAAAATCCAATAAGGATTTATTATCAAAAATTTTATCGGAAGATATAGCTCCAGACATAAAAAATGAATTACTTAAAACTTTGGTAAATACAGAAAAAGTCCAAAAATAGATAATGTTTTTAAATTCTCTGAGGTACAGAGAAGAAGGCAAAATATTGCATCTACTTCTAAAGATATATCGTTATCATCTATTAATAAAGAGATACAAGAATTAAAAAAGGAAGTAAAAGAATTAAAACAAGAGAATAAATATATTCTCTCACGACTTGATGAAGATAATGAAAGTAATAAAAATATAGTTCAACAAAATGAACAGAGTGAAAATGAAAATGAAAATAATGCTCTCTTGTAAATATTGCAACAAGTTACCTCTCAAAAGTGGTATATAAGGGGAAGGGGGGGTGGGGTTATTCATTGGGGTAATTATTGGGATAATGGGGTAATTTTTAGAACAATAATGTTTGGTGTTTATTCATTAGGGTAATTGGAACTGGGGTAATCTATGTGGTGTTATTGGTTTGTTGGGGGTAAATATGGGACAAATACCCCACTTTCCCCCAAATTATCCCACCTATAAAAGCAATTGGCAGCCCCACCCCCAAATTTTACCCCCAAAACATTTGCTGGAACCAAATTCCCCTAATTAGAGCCGACGCAAATACCCCAGATCCGACCTCCTCTCTCCGCCTCGAGCTCATGCGGCGCCGTTCTCGAGCTCGTCGGCCGCCTCCTCCGCCTCCTCTCTCCGCCTCGAGATCATGCGGCGCTGTCTCTAGATCGTCCACCGCCGTTCGCCGACCCTGACGACGTCGTTCTTGAGCTCGAATACCCGCTCTCACAAGCTTGAAACCCTAGCTACCGCCGCATCTCACAAGCTCTCAGTGGAAGAGCAGAAGCAAGAGAACGATTAAGAGAAGGGGACGATGGTTTCGCTGAAGCTCCAGAAGAGGCTCGCCTCGAGCGTTCTCAAGTGTGGAAAGGGCAAAGTTTGGCTCGATCCTAATGAAGTGAACGAGATTTCTATGGCCAATTCAAGTAAGATCCTCTTCTTCATCCAGATTAGGGTTAGGGCTTCACATAGAGTTTATGATTTATTTGGTTTACTTGATTTCAAGTACAGACATAGTTGATGTGGTAATGATTATGCAGTGAATAAATTTCTGTTATATAGCTTTTCCTACTTGCTTTGAATTTCACCTGGCCTAGCAATTTGAATCAGGGTATATCAATTTGTGCTTTGAATTTCACCTGGCAATTTAAATTGGAATATATCAATTTGCACACAAGATTTTGGATTCGTTCAAAATTACGACTGAAATAGACCTTTTGTTTCAATAATTGGTTAGCAACAAGTTATTTGAGAATGATAGCTGGATTTACACTTTGGGCTATGTTTGGGTTAGGAGCTTGTTTTATTCCAGGGTTAACTTAACTCATGATAATCCTGTGATATAATAATCCAAGAGACTGCAGTGAGTTAAATTTTTAATAATATCTTTGGTTTAGTTTGTCATTAACACTTCTAATATGTATGAATGTTTGGGAATTTGTCACTATAAGCTGGTATATGATTAGGACATAACAGCAAATAACCACAATTCCCTTCTGCCTATCTGTCTTGACTTTAGTTTTCAATTTATATGTTTGGAGATTCATTATTGGATATCTATCGTAGCAGAATAAATGCTACAATGTTTGGAGATTCATGATTGGATATCTATCCTAGCAGATGAATGACATGCAACCTTTTCGTTATCTAGAATGCACCATGGCACTAATTTTCAACAAATCAATAGAGTTTAGATAACTGAGAGCAAAAAGAGAGTTATTATGTTTAATTAGTCATAAAACTATTTACAGACAATAAGTATATTCCACATCACTCTTTTCCTATTTGATAATTGCTAATGTCACATTATTCTTATATAAACTGTGATATTTGTACAGGGGTTACACGAGCGTGGTGATTCAATCATGCTAGTCGATGAATCCATGTGTTTCGATACATATAATAGAGATGAAGTAATGAGAATAATACAAATAGCTCTATTGTGCACTCAGTCGACAGTTTCTTTGAGGTCGACAATGACTGAGGTAGTTGTATGTCTCCTGAGTGAAAGCAGGCCTCTTCTACATCCCATGAAGCCTACCTTCACTGGTGTCGATGGCAGTTCTGATGGAAATGCATCGACGACAACAGTTTCCTTTGTTTAAGTTTCTGCTAGGTGAAAACTGTTATGCAGTGTATCTTGCATATTATTAGTACAAATATATGCACACATAATAAAGATGACCATTATAAGGTGGAAAGGAGAATATGTATATGTATGTGTGTGTAATGTGTATGAAGATGCCATGTCTGATTCAGTGTATACATACATTATCTATTGTGATTGTGAAAAGTGTTGGATATTTTATTGAAGATTCCCCATAATTATATATCCATTATGCAGTATTAATTGCTGAGGAAGATAAAATATGTAAAACATGTAAAATTGTCTTTTCTTCAATAAAATATCAAGTTAAACTATTATTTATTTTATAAAATTGCATTAATATTATTTTATATTATAACTATTATTTATTTAATCATTTGATGTTATATCAAGCTAAACTTGAATTTAATTGAGCTATAAATATAATATTATAAAAAGATGTCATACTAAAATTGTCCCACTCAAATTGTCTCATTACCCCATTTTAGCCCACTTTATCCCACTCAATTATCCCATTGGATAAAATTACCTCATTGGAACAATTTACCCCAATTTACCCCAAATTACCCCAATGAATAACCCCCCTAAGAATTACTTTAGTAGTTGCAGATCAAATGTATATATCAGACCTTATAGCTCTGGTTGATAGTGGTGTAGATCTAAACTGCATAAATGTAGGCATAATCCCTTCAAAATTCTTTGATAAAACTACTCAGACTTTAAGTAGTGCCAATGGTAATCAATTAGAAGTAAAATATAAATTACCACAAGCACATATATGTGTGCAAAGGACTTGTATACAAACTCCCTGTATTTTAGTTAAAAATTTATCTCAACATATAATTCTGGGAACTCCATTTCTGCATACTATTATGCCTATTAGCCAAATTGACACTAATGGCATTCGAGCTACATATGAGGATAAAGAAATTATATTTGAATTTATTACTGATCCTCAAACTAAAATGTTAAATAAAGTCAAAAATATCATTTTAAAAGAAAATCAAATAAATTTTCTTAAAGAAGAAGTAGTATTTATTCAAGTTTAAGAACAAATTAAAAAACAAAAAGACTTAATAAGTCAAATCGAAAATAAATTTAAACTCACTGTCTGTAGTGATGTTCCAAATGCCTTTTGGAATAAAAAACAACATATTGTTTCTTTACCCTATATAGAGAGATTCAACGAGAAAAATATTCCTACTAAATCTCGTCCATGCCAAATGAATCAAGAATACCTTGATTTATGTAAAAATGAAATACAAACTCTTATAGAGAAAAAGTTAATAAGGAAATCATATTCTCCTTAGAGCTGTACTGCGTTTTATGTGAATAATGCAGGTGAAAGAGAATGAGGAGTTCCTCGATTAGTTATAAACTATAAACCCTTAAATTCTGTCCTTAAATGGATCAGATATCCAATTCTTAATAAAAGGGATTTGTTAAATCGCATTACTAATGTAAAAATCTTTTCAAAATTTGATTTAAAATTAGGGTATTGGCAGATTCAAATAGAAGAAAAAGATAAATATAAAACTGCCTTTGTTGTCCCATTTGGACATTATGAATGGAATGTTATGTCATTTGGGCTTAAAAATGCCCCTTCTGAATTTCTATATATAATGAATGACATATTTATTCCTTATACGGATTTTATATTGTCATATATAGATGACATTTTGATATTTTCTCATAATTTTGATCAACATGTTAAGCATTTAGAATTTTTTAGAAACTTAGCTATTAAAAATGGGTTAGCTATATCTGCCCCCAAAATATAATTATTTCAAACTCAGATTAGATTTCTGGGTCACAATATAGAAAAAGAAACTACTATTCCTATTGATAGAAGTATAGAATTTGCTTCTAAATTTTCCGATGAGATAACTGATATCAAACAGTTACAAAGATTTTTAGGAGCATTAAATTATGTTACAGATTATTATAAAGATCTGGCAAAAGATACAGTCCTTTTATATGATAGGCTTAAAAAGAATGTGAAGCCTTGGACTCAACAACATACTGCTGCTGTAAGAAAAATTAAACTTAAAGTTAAAAATTTACCATGTATTCATCTTGCTAATATTCATTGGTTCAAAATAGTTGAAACCGATGCATCTAACATTGGTTATGGTGGTATATTAAAACAAGTTGACCCCCAAACCAATAAAAAACAATTAGTTTATTTTACCTCTGGTAAATGGGATAAAGCCCAATTTAATTATTCTACAATTAAAAAAGAAATGTTATCCATCATAAAATGTTTCTCTAAATTCAGAGATGATATTTTAAATCAAGAATTCTTATTAAGAATAGATTGTAGTTCTGCAAAGAGCATTATTGAAAAGGATGTGAAAAATCTAGTTTCTAAGCAAATCTTTGCTAGATGGCAAGCTGAATTAGTCATGTATCAATTTAAAATTGAGTATATTAAAGGTGACTATAATCATCTTCCTGATTTTTAACTCGTGAATTTTTACATGGTACAAATGAGATGGAGTAATCCCTCCTTTTCAAGGAGGGGGAGAGGAGGCCCAAGCCCAACTTCCAGTTCAGGCCTTATAGGCCAAACTAGTTCAGAAAGGAGTTATACTCCATCTCAGCCCAGTTCATGGCGTACTATTTCAAAGAAACATAATTCGTCGCATCCATCTCAAGCCTTTTATAAAGGCATAAATGATCTTATTACACAGGAACAAACTCCTGAACCCTTTACTTCCATAGTAAAGCAAGAGACAGAATGAGTTGAAAAACCTCAGTCTGACATTGTTCTATATCTAGAACAAGAGGATGTTCCCTTGATGAATGATCCAGAAAAATTAAGGCAGAGATATCTGCAGGATACATATTATCCAACTTTATCTTTAAAACCAAGAGCCTGGATGAAGACTCTATTGGAGATATCTGCAGGATACATATTATCCAACTTTATCTTTAAAACCAAGAGCCTGGATGAAGACTCTATTGGTGCAAAAGGGCTTAGAAATTATGCATTTTTGGACGACAGATAATCATAATGTCCCTCCAAGCTTCAGAAAATGTATTATTCAGGAAGTTATACTTCCTAGAAATTGGGCACTAAATCCTAATCAGGAGCTGCCACTTGTCAGAGTTCAAAATACAAAAGAAGTTTATAACTTCAATTATTGGGACTATAAACAGGCCTTTAATGAGATATTCTTATATCAGAATCCCAAACAGAAGCACACTTGGCTTATAAAAATTTGTCCTAAAGCTCTTCAAAATGGCGTTCCTACTTGGTTCTATAAATGGTGGGAAACATATGATATTAAAATTGGTATTATTCCAGAACCCTTAATGAAGTTATACTCTTCTTGGGTAGATTCCCATCCTATTCTTGCACGAAGGGACGAAAGCCAGCTTATAGATGGCATGTGTTTAATACACTTCTTTGCTGAAGTTGAGATCCCATGGATCTGGAATTGGTCTATTATTTGTGATTGGACCCCTTCTCATATGCCCGTTCTGAGAAGAAAATATTACTGCAAATGGTGGAACGGAATGTGCCTTGATACTAAGGTAAAACAACTTGAAGAGATAATACAAAAAAATACTTCTGTACTGGAGTCTCATATGACTCAAGAAATCAAACAAGATAATCCAATGATGAAGATTGCGAAAATGATGAGGAGAAAATACACTCATAGCTCCGAATCAGAAATAAAACAAAAATGTTTGGAGCATTTTAAAAGGCAATTTTTTGAAGCCTTTGACACTAGTGAGACTCATAGTCATACGTCTTCAATGGAAGAAGACACACCAATTCAAGATGCCCAAGACCCTGATGATATCTGGGCAGAAATATTCAATAATCCACCAGACCTTAAAGGTAAAAGCCCAGCTTCATAAGCAGATAAAGATTCTAGATTGAGCCTCGGGGAGCCGTCTAGAATTCACTCATCTAAAGTTACTTTATAAAGTAGCTTTTCAAAAAGTCAAAGCATCTTACTGTTCATAATATGAACGAATGTCGTTATACGCATGTCGCTGTCATCTTTTTGTGCTGCCACGTTAATGGAAAATAATGGAGAATCTTTCTTGAAGTTTCTTGGATGGTCTATATATATGTACAAAGTTTGAAGTGTGAGGTAGAGTTTTGAGAGAAGAGAATAAGATTGTAAGAAAAGTGCTGTGAGTTTGTAAAATCCTCTTGTAATATTAAGAGTGTATCCCTTGTAAAATATTGAAGATAATAAAGACTATATTCTAAGAATCGACAGTCGTACTCTGTAAGTGTGTTTCTTTTCTATCTGTGTTTCTTTACCTTGTATAATATTGAAGATAATAAAGACTATATTCTAAGAATCGGCAGGCGTACTCTGTAAGTGTGTTTCTTTTCTATCTGTTTTTATTTGTTCTATTTCTGGTATCAGATCCATGATTAATTTCTACATGTCTGATTAAAACTCTTCTTACAGTTTATCTTTTATTAGTTAGCTTGTAAGAATGTAGAATATTATATGTTCTTTTAATTCTCTGATTATGAACTTGGTCTGAATGCTTATGGGACGTCAAAAAAGTCGCGCTGTGTAAATCCTGTTGTTGCCGGATAGGCTGTTTAGGGTAGTGTAAGCCGTTGGCAGACGTGTAAGATTTTAACTAGGCTGATAGTTAGAGAATAAAAAGGAAAATAATATTCTGCCTTCTTACTAGTTAACTATTAAAGGATAAAACTGTGAGAAAAAAATATGTCAGACCTTGCTGAAACTTCGGCTCGTAAATCCAGTTATACTGGAATGAAAAAAAGTAAAAAATGCTCAGTTGACTGAATACAAAACTGACATAGAATCACTTAATAAGTGGACAATACCTATGTCCCTAATAGAGACATATATAAAATTAGCTTTTTAGATTATAAATCTTTAGTCAATATTAAAACTCTAGAAAGGACTAGTACAGTCGATAGGGAAGAACAAACTATTCAATTGTTAGGAGAAGCAGATGTAAATCCATATATGGATAAGTATAAATACATACATGTAGGTCTTATACAGATCGCTTTTCGACCATTGACTCTATCAGGGTTAAACACATCTTTATTAGTCTGCCTTAAAGACTCAAGATGTTTGAACTGGACCCAATCTTTAATAGGTATTATGGAAACCAGTCTCTGTAATGGACCGGTGTATTTTAATGTTTATCCTAATTTAAGTTTATCTTTAATTGATCCGAATATACTCGAATA